GAAAACTGAACTTTTTTTTTTTAGAAAATGTCAATTGCTTTTTTTAAAGGTTTTATTTACTTATTTGAGAGCTAGAGAGAGAGGGAGAGGCAGAGAGAAAAGTCTTCCATCCACTGGTTCACCCCCAAATGGCCGCAACAGCCAGAGCTGGACCAATTCAAAGCTAGGAGCCAGGAGCTTCTTCCAGGTCTCCCATGTAGGTGCATGGGCCTAAACAGTGCTTTCGCAGATCATAGCAGAGAGCTGGATCAGAAGAGGAACAGCTGGGACATGAATCGGCACCCATATGGGATGCTGGCACCGCAGGCAGAGGCTTAGCCTACTAGGCCACACCACCAGTCCAAAAACTGAACATTTTTTAAAGTTTTTACTTAACTTGTTTTTATTTATTTGAAAGGCAAAATGACAGAGAGAGAGAGAGAGAGAGAGATCGATCTTCCATCTGCAGTTCACTTCTCAAATACCTGTAATAGCTGGGGCTGAGCCAGGCCAAAGCTGAGTCTCCCACATGAGTGGCAGAGACCCCAGTACTTGAGCCATTGTCTGCTGCCTCTCAGGATGCACATTAGCAGGAAACTGGATCAGAAGCAGAGGCAGAACTTGACTCCAGGCACTAGGATAGGAAAAAAGAAGGAAACAATTTTTGTCAAAGATTTATTTATTTATTTGAAAGCCAGAAATACATAGAGAGGAGAAAGACAAAAAGAATATCTTCACCTGCTGGTTCACTCACCAAATGGCCACAGTGGCAGCAGCTGGGCCAGGCTGAAGCTAGAACTTATTCTGGGTCTCCCATGTGGGTGCAAGGACCCAAGTACTTGGGCCATCTTCCACTGCCTTCCCAAGTTCATTTGCAGGAAGGTAGATCAGAAGTGGAGCAGCTGAGACTCGAATCCGCACTCATGGGATGCCAGCACTGCAGGCAGAGGTTTAACCTTCTATGCCACAGCACCTGCCTTGGAAGGAAACAAATTTAAGACTGTAAAAAATAGTAGGGGATCGGCACTGTGGCATAGCAGGTAAAGCAGCCGACTGCAGTGCTGGCATCCCATATGGGCGCCAGTTTGAGTCCTGGCTGCTCCACTTCTGATCCAGCTCTCTGCTATGGCCTGGGAAAGCAGTAGAAGATGACCCAAGTCCTTGGGCCCCTGCACTTGTGTGGGAGACCCGGAAGAAGCTCCTGGCTCCTGGCTTTGGATCGGTGCAGCTCCAGCCATTGCAGTCATCTGGGGAGTGAACCAGCAGATGGAAGACCTCTCTCTCTCTCTCTCTCTCTCTCTGACTCTCTATAACTCTATAACTCTGCCTTTCAAATAAATAAATAAATCTTTAAAAAAAATAATAGGAAGACACTTGAAAAAAACAAACAAAAAAACACAAATTTTGAGCAGAGTAAAAGATACCTGATAAAATAATTTGGTTCAGAAATTATTTATTGGAGTGGGCATTTGGCCTAGGGGTTAAGATTAAATTAAGATGCCCGTGTCCTGGGTCTGGCACTGTGGCCTAGTAGGTTAGTCTCTGCCTGCGGTGCCAGTTCATGTCCCAGCTGTTCCACTTCTGATCCAGCTCTCTGCTGTAGCCTGGGAAAGCAGTGGAAGATGGCCCAAGTCCTTGGGCCCCTGTACCGTGTGGGTGCTGGCTCATGTCCCAGCTGCTCCACTTCCGATCCAGCTCTCTGCTGTAGCCTGGGAAAGCAGTGCAAGATGGCCGAAATCCTTGGACCCCTGCACCTGTGTGGGAGACCCAGAAGAAGCTCCAGGCTCCTGGCTTTGGATGGGCCCAGCTCTGGCCATTTAGGGAGTAAACCAGTGGATGAAAGACTTCTCTCTCTCTTTCTGTGCCTCTCTGTAACTTTACCTGTCAAATAAATAAATAAATAAATCTTAAACAACTAAAATAAATAAATAAATAAAACGGTGCCCATGTCTCCTAGGGTGCCTGGGTTCTCTAGTTCAGGCTCCTCCTGACTCCCACTTCCTGCTAATGCAGACCCTGGGAGGCAGCGGTGATGACTCAGTAATTGGGCTCCTGCCACTCATGTGGGAGACAGGGATTGAGTTCTCAAGTCCTGGCTTTGGCTCCCAGCCTGGGTCACTACAGGCATTTGAGAGTAAAAGTGAATAGCATCTCTCTCTCCTTCTGCATTTCTCTGCCTCTTTTTAAAGCAACATACAAAAAAATTTTTTTAAAGATCTATTTATTTGAAAGTCAGAGGCAGAGAGAGAGAGAGGAGAGAGAGAGAGAGAGAGAGGTGTCTTCCATCTGCTGGTTCACTCCCCAATTGGCCGCAACAGCCAGAGCTGGGCCGATTCGAAACCAGGAGCCAGGAGTTTCTTCCTAGTCTTCCACATGGGTGCAGGGGCCCAAGCAATTGGGCCATCTTCTACTGCTTTCCCAGGCCATAGCAGAGAGCTAGATCAGAAGTGAAGCAGCCAGGACTCAAACCAGCGCCCATATGGGATGACAAGCACTGCAGGTGGCAGCTTTACCCGCTATGGTACAGCACCGGCCCCCTTACTTACAATTTCTAAACTTTTATGGAAAAGGAACAATGATCATAGAAACTGAAAAATCAAGACAATTGATTTGGCTTTAAGCAAACTTTTAAATGTAGGACTGGAGTTTGGGAGGGACCTCAAATTCTGAACTCTGTATGGAGGTATAGTTGAAGTCATTGAGCAGAATAGGTCCCTGATCGAGTTAAAAATAAGGGGGGGGGGAGGTGTAGGTCTCTTAGGAGCATCTATATATAGGTAGAAGAAAAACTTGGGTGAAGAGAATCAGTTAGGAATATGTTAGTGATGATAGCACAGTTCCATAGTATTCAAGAAAGAATTTTTTAAGATGGAGATGACCTACCTGACTGAGTCTAAATTACTGAACATGAATCTGCTGAAGGCCTGGTCAGAATGGTTTTGGGCCTTCACTCAGCCCTGGAGCAGAAATCCGAGACGATGGCTGATCAAAGCGTCAAAGGCCTAGACAATAGGGATTGTTGTTCGCAGTTCTTTTATTTTTATTTTTATTTATTTTTATTTACTTTTTGACAGGCAGAGTGGACAGTGAGAGAGAGAGACAGAGAGAAAGGTCTTCCTTTGCCGTTGGTTCACCCTCCAATGGCCAACGTGGCCGGTGCGCTGCGGCCCGCGCACCGCGCCTATCCGAAGGCAGGAGCCAGGTGCTTCTCCTGGTCTCCCATGGGGTGCAGGGCCCAAGCACTTGGGCCATCCTCCACTGCACTCCCTGGCCACAGCAGAGAGCTGGCCTGGAAGAGGGGCAACCGGGACAGTATCCGGTGCCCCCACCAGGACTAGAACCCGGTGTGCCGGTGCTTGCCTGTCCACTCCAGCTTCTGACAGGTGGCTTTGCTGGATTTTCTTCTTTTGGGTGACAAAGCAGGCCTCCACCAGCACTAAAGCCGAGAGGGGAAGAGGCCCTTCAGGTCCTCAACAACCAGTGGGGCCGGTCCTGTAACCTTGCAACTGCTGCCTCCAAGGACCTAGTGTCACACTTCCAGACTCTAGCAAGTGTAATGCAAGATTTCAATTTGGGCTCAGCATTGGGGCAAAGCGGGTTAAGGCGCCACCTGCAACACCAGTATCCTCTCAGAGCACTGGTTCGACTCCCATGTGCTCTACTTCTGATCCAACTCCCTGCTCATGCACCTGAGAAAGCAGCAGCAGATGACACAAGTACTTCTACCCCTGCTGCCCATACGGGAGATGGGGATGGAATTCCAGGCTCCTGGCTTCAGCATGGTCCCAGCCATTGTGGCCACTTGGGGAGTACTGCGGATGGAAGACCTTTCTTTCTCTGTCCCTCTGCCTTTCAAATAAATAAATCTTTTTCACAAAAGAGATTTCAGTTTACAAAATGGAATGTATAGATTGTTTTATCTCCTCCACCTATTCTTGTTAGACTGATCATGTCTTCTGTTACATCCTCAAAGTGACCAGAAGTACTTTCTGCCTATTTCTGGCTATCGTGACCCCAGAATGAATTCAATAGAGGAGATAATGGAGACTCTCCTAGTAGTTTAAAGAAAAGAAAAATCGATTCAAGCAGGCAATTATCTCAATATTTTCCAAAAATATAGAGTTTTAGGATTTGAAATATGCAATGAGGTTTTGTTTTTATCAAATTCTCCATTTTGTGTCCAAAGTTCAGGCACAGTCTATCTAGATTTCTGCCACGAAGGAGGGAATAGCTGTGTGGCAAGGACAATCCCAGGGAGCAGCAATGGCTGTTTCTTCTCTTTTTCTTCCCCTGAAACAAAACCCCTCAAATATTCATTACTGAGCCATCCTATTGGTGCAGAGCATAGGAACAAAATGCAAAATAATATTCCCAATAATGTACTTCCAACGATCCCGTGGTGCCATTTTCAGCTGCATGCCGTAGGATGGTGGCAGAGTTCGTATGTGTGCCATCTCATGTGCAATTACTTGGAGGCCCGGCCTGCTTCTCCAATGTCTCCTCCTGGAGATGCACCTGATTTTATTACCAGTTTTCATACAAATCCTTCGGGGGAATGGGACAGTTTTGCTTTTATTTCTTGGCCAGCAATCAATTCATCTGAAAGTCTTTTGGCACGGAATGGAATCAACCACACACACTACGATGATGGAGAAAAGGGGAGGCGGCAGGGGCTGCTTTTTGAACCCTGCGGTCGCGGTTCTAATTAGGTGGAGGCTCGGGACCCTGGTCCACTGCAGGTGGGCTGCTGCTTACACACACACACACACACACACACACACACACGGAGGGAGAGAGAGAGAAAGCAAGCTAAAGCTTAAAACCTTGACTTTCTCAGATACTAGGACACAAACCAGTCCCAAGATACGAAGCAGCATTAACTCTGCTGGAGGCTGGGGTACCCGGAAGAGACTTGGTTACCATGGCCACGCAGGAAGCCTCCGGGACAGCCCTCTCTTAGCCCGGCCCGAAGTACGCAAGCACCACCCACTCTGGTCCCTAGCTCGGCAATCGGCTAGCCATCCCCGAATGCGTTCGGTGCTCGCCTCTTGGACCTTGCGCCTGCGTATTACCACTCCTTCTCGTCGCCGCGGCTCGGATCGGGAAGTGTCAAGCGGGAGCCGGGTTCCCCCGCATTCGCCGCTGCCGCCGCAGAACCCGGACCCCCTACCCAGGCCCGGGCCCAGTCGCCATGACGAACGGTGAGAGCCGGTGACCTGAGCGGAATGGAGCCGGGAAGGGCAAGGGAGAAACGTGGCGGGCGGGGCCGGGACTGACGTGGCTGTTCTCCCCGCCCCCTCCCAGCCCGGCCCCCCTTGGCTTTTGGGGGGCCCCTAAAGCCCCCTCTTGTCTTCCTCGGGTTCCTCTGCGTGCCCAGCTAGGACTCCCACTGCCTCTCGCGCCCGCGTTTCTAATCCTCGACCCTTAGCCATTATTTCTCTTTTTTCCCTAGAAGTTCGTCCTAGCCCTGGGGGAGGCCAGTTCCCTTAGAAGTGCGATTTAGCCCCGGGACAGAGAGAGGGTTCTTTTCCCAGGCTCGTTGAAAGGACCAAGAAATCACGGAGCACAGCAAGTCCCACACTTTGGCGGGGTGTGGGTGTGAATGTAGATGCCCTAAAAGAAGTTCTCCTGTTTTGACAAAACGCCCGGAAGCCTTTTCTTGTTTGGTCTGAAGTCCTGACGGAGTGACCGCATGTGGAGACCCTGGCTACTGTTGTGAGGCATAGATTCAGTCACCGCCTTTTCCGAACGAGGTGCAGTTGCCACCCGGTTTATCTTGCTCAACTTCCAGGGCTCTTCCAACACTTAATAGACATGATTTCCGAATTTCAGGAGAGCCCAGGAAGCAGGGCTGATAGGGTCTTTGCGGTCAGCTTTATATGAAGGGAGAAGAAAGCCTCTTAGGCACATGAGGGCTCTTCTCTAAAGCACCTTGGGGACCAGCGCTGTTGCAAAGCGGGTAAAGCTGCCACCTGCAGTGCCGGCATCCCATACGAGTACTGGTTCGAGTCCTGGCTCCTGCACTTCTGATCCAGCTCTCTGCTATGGCCTGGGAAAGCAGTAGAAGATGGCCCAAGTCCTTGGGCCCCTGCACCCGTGTGGGAGACCTGGAAGAAGCTCCTGGGTTTGGATCAGCGCAGCTCCGGCCTTTCGGCCTACTGGGGAGTGAACCAGCGGATGGAAGACCTCTCTCTCCCTCCCTCCCTCCCTCCCTCTCTTTCTCTCTTTCTCTCTCTCCCTCTCTCCCTCTCTCCTTCTCCTTCTCCTTCTCTCTGTAACTCTTTCAAATAAATAAATGTTAAAAAAAAGAAAGTACCTTGACCACAGGGCTGGCAGGGAAACTCGGGTTTCACCTTCTTGTGAATTTTGGTGTGGTCTGCAAAAACTTACAGGAGAAAAAGAGGAGCACAGAAGGGCTTAGGTCCTCATGAAAACCTGCTATGGTGTATGTCTTAATTAACTGGACCTAGTAAAGCTTTTTTTTTTTTTTTTTTAAGAGATTTACTCATTTATTTAATTGAAAGGCAGAGTTAGAGAGAGAGAGAGCTTCCATCCACTGATTCACTTTCCAAATGCCTGCAATGGCTGGGGCTAGACCAGGCTGAAGCAAGGAGCCAGAAGCTTCCTCCAGGTCTCCCATGTGGGTGCAGGGGCCCAAGCACCTGGGCCATCTTGGTAGTTTTCTTTTTTTAAAAGATTTATTTATTTATTTGAAAGGCAGAGGTACAGAGAAGCAGAGGCAGAGAGACAGAAACAGGTCTTCCATCCACTGGTTCACTCCCCAGATGACCACAACAGTTGGAGCTGCGCCGATCCGAAATCAGGAACTAGGAGCTTCTTTTGAGTCTCCCATGTGGGTGCAGGAGCCCAAGGACTTGGGCCATCTTCTGCTGCTTTCCCAGGCCATAGCAGAGAGCTGGATCAGAAGTGGAGCAGCCGGGACTAGAACCGGCGCCAATATGGGATGCTGGCACTGCAGGTGGCAGCTGTACCTGCTACGCTGCAGCACAGGCCCCCCATGAGGTGGTTTTGGTGGAGTAAGTAGGTAGACACTAGCTCATATCCAGTATCCATTTGGAGCTTCATCACAGGCCTCGGGACACTAGGTACAGTTTAAGGGACAACGCAGGAGGAAGGAGTAATCTGAATCAAGAAATGAGAGCATTCTGACACAGGGGAGCTGCTGATAAATTTTGGACGTTCTCCCTCCCTTTTGTGGTCTGATATCTTTTTTGCAGTTAAACAACAATTCATTGTACTTACCTGTAAAGCAAATAGCTTGGTTTCTGCGTATAAGAAATAGAACTAAGAGTATGAAGCTTTGCGCTGTCTTGAAGCCCCAGTTGTTTTGTTTTTAAAAAAACAATCTGTTTTCCTGGGAGAAGTTTGGTTTATAAGCAGAGTATTATGCATGAAGTGTAAGATAATATAGCAAAATTGTAGTCATGAATTCTAGCCCTTGCAATTTCCATTGAGCTTTGTTTTTTGCCTTATATTCTTTACCAACAGATGCAGATCTGACAGACTTGCCTAAATATCTAGCTTTTTTTTTTTTTTTCAGATGATTTATAATGAGGACATGCTTAATTCTCTGTGCTCAGGCTGCAAGGATTTCTTAGGCTTCTCTCAGCCTGTTGCCATTACAGGGCATTCCTGAGAGGCTGATTGCACGGAGCCTGATGCACACTGCCCAGGATTTCTAGTTCTTAGAATGGGAGGGAAGGGGGCAGTGGGATTGCTGGGAAGGGGGTGTCCGCAAGCAGTTTGGAAATAATAAAGACACCTTGTTAGTCCCGACACCTTTGCTCCCTGTTGTCGGGTGCTGGTGATACCAGAGGAGGTTATCTACTTGGTATTATGTTGTCACACTCTGTAGTCCTTTTGGTTCTCGGGCAGGATCACCTGTCCCAAACTAGGTCAGCACCAAAGCCTTGCTTTTCTTCTTTGTGTAACAGTGTACTCCCTGGATGGGATTCTGGTGTTCGGTTTGCTCTTTGTTTGTACTTGTGCCTACTTCAAGAAGGTACCTCGTCTCAAAACCTGGCTGCTGTCAGAGAAGAAAGGAGTTTGGGGTGTGTTTTACAAAGGTAAGGTCATGTGTGGCCACAGAGGAGATTGCCGTCTCTCACAGTGTGGTACAGCAAGGGGAGGGTGGAATGGGGTGGGAGTTTGTTTCACTTTCAGAAGAAAATCCTGAAGATTGAGTCTAAGAGTCAATAAAGTTAAATATTCATTTTCCAAAGAGAACAGGTAAATGTGAAAATTTACTGGTATTTAAACCTAATTGTTTATTTTAGCATTCTCTATGGAGTAAAATTATATAAACCAAACAATTTTAGGCTGGGCTGGAATTCCTCCTTTCAGTGGGAAGAATATTTTTCCACTGAAAATGTTTCTGCTTTTTCTGGGAAGAATACATTGGAGCTTAAGTTTTGAATTAATTAACTCAGATGCTTTTTTACTTTTCATTTTGGGGCTCTTTATCTGGAATTCTAACTGCCAGAGTCTTGTTTCAGAATAGGGTAAATATAAACAATGTTTGCTTAGATCCTGGAGCAGAGAGGTAGTGCTGGAAAGCATTCTGAGACCGTAGGTCTGTTTGTGACTAGAGAGTTGCTGATGCCAACTTGACCGTGAGGACTTTGTGAAGGCCCAGGTGTGACTTATTCTCTGCTTTTCCCTGCCAGCTGCTGTGATTGGAACCAGGCTGCACGCCGCTGTGGCAATCGCCTGTGTTGTAATGGCCTTTTACGTCTTGTTTATAAAATGAATTCCAAAGTAGCCACCTCATCAACTGCCAACCAAGGGGACGAGGGTGAAGAACCTCTCAGAGGCCTGGACGCAGAGTAGGAGAGTTCAGCTAAAACCATCAAAGTCCCCAGGATGACACCACAGCATCTGCCCCTGCCGTTTGTGGGGAGAACTCCTCGTGCTCCAGAGGACTCCGGACCGCCAGCTTCCTTTGATCTGTGTGCAAATCTTCCTCAGTAGTGAGCGGATAACCCGATAAATCATCCCCTCAGCAGCAAGATTACATCCCTCCTGCTCACAAACCTGCTCCTGTTTTGTTCTTCAGCACCTCGTCAGGATCTTTGCAAAGCCGAGGCTTGTTAGGGAAGGACGTAGGCCGTGCTCAGACTCTCGGAAGGAGAGCTCATTTCCAAGACTGGACTCTTTTTCACTGTTAGATTCGGATTTGACAAATTGGGAAGGGGGTGCTGGGTGGGCGATAGGAATTATGAAATGCCAATAAGATGTTTGTCTTTTGAATTTATCTTTCTTAAGCCCATCTGGGAACATGAGAGAGAAGCACGGCTGCCCTTGCAGAGAGAGCAGATGAAGGAGCTGTGCCGCGTGCTGGAGCCTGAGAGTTTTGCCAGGAGAATCTGCACTTACGTAAAATGCAGGAACTGTCTGTGATGAAAACACGAAGCAGACACTTAGAGGAGAAAGCGTTTTCTGTTCACCAGTATCCCCAAAAGGCGGCTTCACTCAATTAAATGGTGTATGAAAATTACCTATTTCCTAAAGGCTTTTCTATTTTCTAAATTACTTAGTGCTCAATACTGTTACTCTGTTTTAAATGCCACCACTAGGGGGAAGAGAAACTATTGAAGAAATAATTGTTTAATATATTTGCTGTTGAATAAATAAATCTAGTATGTCAATTCATATACTAGTAAATTCATCTAGTATAAGAATTTATTGTGATGTTGTTAGATGGGAATTTTGCCCTGTTATACAAGAAACAAAATTAATGTCTGGGTTTTAAGGCCAATTTTTAGTTTATTGTTTTTCTTGGCCCTCTGTTGATTTCCTTCATATTGTAGTGGTCTTTAGCTGTCTCTGGAAATTGCATTTACTGTAAGAACAGGAGAAACTCAAATGAAGGAAGTTGCTGATACTTCCTGGCATGTTTGGACAGTTCATAGAACCCACTAATAAAACGAGAGGGTTTTCTGAAGTAAAGGAAAACAGCTTTGCAATTGAGACTGAAGGGCTCTTCCTTGGAATATGGCAACTCCTGAGCAAATCATTTTAGATGACTCCACATTTGAAGGGAAGACTTCTCCACCCTCTTCCTTCTGTCTGCAAAAGGAGCAGCTGCTGGATTTGTGATGCTTATGACTATTTTTTTAAAAAAGGTCTAAAGTTAAATTTTATTAAGAAGCTTAGACATACATCTTCCAGTTGAATTGTCCAATACATGGAAACTTGATTGTGGACAAGGTAGCTGTGGTTGACTCCTGTGTGGCAATCAATTTTGTCTGCTTCCCCCAGGAGAATAAAAGCTGCTAGGAAGTTCAGCTTCTAAAACTAAGCAGTTTAGTGCTTTGAGGGTTTCAGAAGTATGGAAAGCCATGAAGTTAACACTACATGTCTAATCATCTCAAGAGCTGTGGCTGTTATCTCTTCAGGAACTGGTACACAGGGTAAATTTCAATGATTCATATGTTTTCCATTTTTCGTTTTTGATGATCTTTGCATGAGAGAAAGGATATCTTATGGAAGAGGAAGGAAGAGATAGACCTTGTAGGTGTGGTTTTGGGTCCTGTTGGCCAAAGGGAATGTCCCTCCCTGGAAACAGGTTCAGCATGTTTTGCACATGTTATTTTGTAGCTTTAATGACTGACTTGTTTTCTAATAGGGCTAATGTTTCTAAGCTTCGTGCTTAGAGCTTCTTCATGTTTTCAACTAGTTCCATTTGCAGTTCTGGTTCAGATCAATCTTTACAGTCTCCTGAGTGGGTCATCTTGACCTACACTCTTGAGTTGTTAAATTTTTGAGATGTTTTCATAAAAGAATGTACCAAAAAGTGCACAAGGTGAAGGTAATTTAGGGCAAGAAACCAATACACAGCTTATTTCATTTCCTTATGTAAGCAGATAAGGAGAAACTTTTTTAAATCAGTATTTTGGTTGATGTGTCTTAAATATTTTTGACTAAGAATTACAGGAGGTTGTTCCTCTGGGGGAGTGTTTTAGGGGTAGAGGTGTGGGATAGCAATACTGCTTCAGACTTAAACTGGCATCGCCATAAACCCTGTGTACCAGGGTGGGATGACTTCAGCTCCTTTTTATAGTTGAAATACAGTTTTTTATTGACCATTGTCTGCACAGATCCTTGAAAATAAAATTTCTTTCCCTATAATCTTTGTCCATTTTATTTGTCACATGTTGAGTTTATTAAGCTTTGTTCGATACTCCCTTGGGTTCTACCCATAGCATACCTTCTTGGTTCACACTAGTGACCAAGTGATCATTCCTGTATCCCTTTATGAGTGTCACTGGTACTGTGACACAAATGAGGATCTATGGTGGCTTAGCTTTCTCCTTTGAAGGAGCTAACATATATGAATAAATTTTGAGGTATCTTAAATAGCAGTCCATACCCCCACCTCCATGCATTTAGCCAACCGCTGCTGTTAAAATGCAAGTCTTGTCTACTTTTACCAGCCATAAGCTTTTTCATTTGTGTGAAGTTACCAGGCTACCTAGCCAGGAACCTAGAAAGTCTTTGATCGAATGGGATCCTTGCACATGTAATGGGTATTTCCCCCTTATTTGTTTATTCTAGGTGCCTGGTGGGACTGGTGCAAGTACAAATTAGAAATTTAGGAACCAGGGGCCAGCGCTGTAGCATAGTGGGTAAAGCCACTGCCTTCAGTGCTGGTGTCTCATATGGGCGCCGGTTCGAGTCCCGGCTGCTCTACTTCCGATCCAGCTCTCTGCTATGGCCTGGGAGAGCAGTAAAGATGGCCTAAGTCTTTGAGCCCCTGCACCCGCGTGAGAGAGCTGGAAGAAGCTCCATGTTCCTGGCTTCGGACTGGCACAGCTCTAGCTGTTGTGGCCAACTGGGGAGTGAACCAACGGATGGAAGACCTCTCTCTCTCTGTCTCCGCCTCTCCTTTCTCTGTGTAACTCTGACTTTAAAATAAATAAATAAATCTTTAAAAAAAAAAAAGAAATTTAGGAACCATTTGCTACTAATCTCCAAAAATCTTTTGATTTATACCCCTATACACTTACTTTTTAAAAGGAAAAGGAAGCTGAGTTGTTAAAATTGTGCTAATGTGAGAGGAAGAATTCTACTTGTTATTACTAGCACTGTTTTCCACTACTCATGGAGTTTGTAAGTCATATGTGTTTTAATGGATCTAATCACATGTGAAGGTTTAGCAGTGTGCCTGCGGCAGCATCAAGTTTTGGGCAGCTGGAGCATTCTGTATGTGGGGATAGGGATATGTCTTCCTTTTATTTATTTATTTATTTATTTATTTTTAAAGGTTTATTTATTTGAAAGAGTTACACAGAGAGAGGAGAGAGAAAGAGAGAGGTCTCCCATCTGTTGGGCCATCTTCCACTGCTTTCCCAGGCCACAGCAGAGAGCTGGATGGGAAGAGGAGCACGGGTCTCGAACCTGTGCCCAAATGGGATGCCGGTGCTTCAGGCCAGGGCGTTAACCTGCTGCGCCCTGATATGTCTTCCTACTTCTACCCATTTCACAGTCATCCTGAATGCCTTGTCCTTGGGTCTGACTACTCGATTCCTCACCTGTCCCTTTGCAAAAATGTTTGACTTCTCCTTTTGGAGAATGGGGGAGCTCATGCTGTGGTCTGTAATGACCAGGGATTGCTCTCCATGGGAAAGAAATCATTCACCCAAAAATCTGAGACTGAATCACATCTGGAAACAATATTTTAAAATTTAAGATGAATCAGAATCAAAATATAAATATCATACACACTGAAATTTGTTCACCTTAAAAAACTAAATAAATGGGACTGGTGCTGTGGCACAGTGGGTTAAAGCCCTGGCCTGAAGTGCCAGCATCTCATAGGTGCCGGTTCTAGTCCTGGCTGCTGCACTTCCGATCCAGCTCTCTGCTATGGCCTGGGAAAGCAGTAGAAGATGACCCAAGTCTTTGCACCCTGAAGAAGCTCCTGGCTCCTGGCTTCAGATCAGCTCAGCTTCAGCTGTTGCGACCATTTGGGGGATGAACCAGCAGATGGAAGACCTCTCTGTCTGTCTCTACCTCTCTCTAACTCTGTCTTTCAGATAAATAAAAATAAATCTTTTAAAAAATTTTAAATTAAAAAAAAAATGTAACCCATGAATTGATAGATGAAGCCGGCCTGCAGCATCGATTCCCCTGGGACCTGGCTTCCCCTCCGAGCCGCTCGAGGGCAGTAAAGCGCTCCCTCGACAAGCGGGGAGTCGCAGTGGCCCGCCTGTGCTCGGTGGTTCTTCCCAGAATCCTCCGAGCGAGGCGAAGGGTTTAAAAGAGAGTGCGGCCTTCCGCTGCGGCACGGGAAGAGAGCGGCCTTGGGTGAGGCTTGTGTGGGCTGTGCATGTGTGTCGCGTGGGAGGCGTGTGTGGGCCGAGGCACGAGTGGATGCGTGGATGTGTTTGTGTGTGCGCGCGTGTTGCGTGCAAGGCGAGTGAGTGCGCCCACCCCTGTGCCCCTCTCCCCTCCTTACACCTTGATCTTATTTGATCGGGTCGTGACCCCAGCCTCGCCGGGCCGTCCCGAAATGAAAAGCTCTCCTCCTGCGAAGCCCCCTCTCTGGGGGCGCTGTGCAGCGAGGCCCTTGGGCGGCGGCAACGCCGCGGTCCCCGAGGTCCCGGAGCTGGTCCAACGGGGCCCGGCGCTCGGAAGTGATGAATTGATCAGATAGACGAGGCTGGGCTTGTCCCGGGCCGCTGATTATCGAGGCGATTCTGATCTGAGCCCGGCCTCAGGACGAGGCCGCCGGTGGCGAGGGGGGCAGTGCCGTAGCTGTTGCCGGGAGCTGGCGGGGCAGGGCGGACGATGAACGAGCTGGAGGCCGCGGCCTGGAGCTGGAAGGTGGTAGAGGCCTTGCTCGCCGCGGTGTTTCCTCCCTGGCTCGCCCCCTTTTTTTTCCTGAAGCCGCAGCCTGTGCCAGCGCTGGTGCGAAGGGTTATACATGTGTGCATGCCAATGCATCCTTCAGAAGCTTACAAAAATGCAGAGTCCAGGGCCTTGCCCGGGATTTTAAGTTAATTAGTAGAAACAGTCCAGAAATGTGCATGTTTTTTGTTTTGTTTTGAAATTTTGAAACAAAAATTGTGTATCTGTGTGATGTTTCAGTACATAGTGCACTTCGTGTACTGTTCAAATCAGGGCAACCCCCTCCTCAGACACTGGCCATTTCTTTGTGATGAAAGCATTCAGTACCCTTTTTTGAGCTGTATAGTGGGTTATCATTATCCATAGTCGCTGTGCTATGTAATACAACAGCAGGATTTTCTCTGACTGGAACTGCCCAACCTTTCCCCATCACACTCCCCAGCCTCTGGTCACCACCATTCCACTCTCAACTTCTATGGGATACACTTTTTAGATTACTCATATGAGAGATCATGTGATAGGTGTCTTTCCCTATATGTGCATTTCCTTATCGTTCCTCAGTTGATGGGCCTTAGTTTTTCCTTTTGTTGACCATGGTGGCCAGTGCTGCAGTAAACATGGGAGTACAGATGATTTCATTTCTTTTTGAGTATATACTCAGTATATCCCAGTAGTAGGATTGCTGAATCATATGGCAGTTTGTGTGTGTGTGGTTAAGATTTATTTGCAAGGCAGAGACACATCTTCCATCCACGATTGACTTCCCAAATGGCCACAGCAGCCGGGATTGGACCAGGCTGAAGCCAGGAGCCAGGAATTCTGCATTTAGGTCTCCCATGTGAATAGCAGGAACTCAAGTACTTGGGCCATCAACCGTTGCTTCACAGGCACATTAGCAGGAAGCTGGATTAGAAGTGTAGTAGTGGGGGACCAGCCCTGTGGGGTAGTAGGCTAAGCCTCTACCTGCGCCAGCATCCCATATGCATGCCAGTTTGTGTACTAGTTGCTCCATTTCTGATCCAGCTTTCTGCTATGGCATGGAAAAGTAGTGGAAGTTGGCCCAAGTGCTTGGATTCTGCACCTGTGTGGGAGACCTATAGAAAGCTCCTGGCTCCTGGCTTCAGATTGGCCCAGCTCCAGCTGTTGGGGCTGTTTGGGAAGTGAACCAGTGGATGGAAGACTTCTGTCTTTACAGACTCTGTCTGTTAACTCTACCTTTAAGTAAATAAGTAAATCTTAAAAAAAAAAAAAGTGTACTTGGCAGGACTCCCCAACATCCTGGTAAGAGATATTTGTCCCAAGCAGTGGCTTACCCAACACCAGCCTCTATTTTAAATTTGAGTAACTGCTGTACTATGTTTTGTTACAACTTTATTACAGTTCCACCAACTGTGCATAAAATTTCCATTTTCTCCACATCCTTGCCAGCACTTTTTTTTTTTATTTACTTAGTTTTTAAATTTACTTACTTGAAAGAGTTACAGAGAGGCAGAAGCAGAGGGAGAGAGAGGGAGAGGAGGTCTTCCATCCACTGGTTCGTTTCCCAACTGGCCGCAAAGGCCAGAGCTGTGCTGATCTGAAGCCAGGAGCCTCCTCCGGGTTTCCCACACGGGTTCAGGGGCCCAAGGACATGAGCCATTCTCCACTGCCTTCCCAGGCCACATCACAGAACTGGATCAGAAATGGAACAGCCAGGACCTGAACTGATGCCCATGTGGGATGCCAGCACCACAGGGGGCGGCTTTACCTGCTATGCCACAGCGCCCACTCCACTTGTTCTCTTTTGTCTTTTCAATTTTTTTCTTCTGTTTTGAGAGGCAGAGAGTTCCTATCCACTGGTTTCCTACCCAAATATTGGCAATCGTTAGGAACCAGGAACTCAATCTGTGACTCCCACATCAGTGGTAGAAATCCAATTTACTTGAGCCATCACTGTTGCATCCTAGGGTTTAGGCAGAAAGATGGAGTCAGGAGCCAGAGCCAGGAATCAAACCCAGGTACATTGGTATGGCACTAAGCATCGTAATTAGTACCTTACCTGCTAGGCCAAATGCCTGACCTTACATTTTGTCTTTGATAACACGTGGTCACTTTAATGGGAGAGAGGTGATAGTTCATTGTGGTTTTGATTTGCTTTTCCTTGATGAGCGGTGTTGAGCACTTTTTCTTATACTTGACCATTTATATGTCTTTTGAGAAATATGTATTTAGGTTCTGTGTCCATTTAAAAAAATATTTAAATGGCAGAGCACAAGAACGAGCGAGAGTGAGCGAGCAAT